CCTCTAGCACTTTGATTTAAAAAAAGCGCCAAATCTGGCGACTTTTGTTCTGCTAGTGGAGACTTTGGCGACAACATCTAAAAGCAGCGAACTCTGCTCTCCAGAGCGAGTAGATTGGTAACCCCGCCTCCTGCTCTCCTCTATCTTGTCTGCTGTCATGATTCATGCAGCTATTATTTCATCCAAATGAAAAATGGAGAACAGATAAGCAGATCATGGCTTGTCTACAGTGAAAAGAAGGACTGGGTTATTTACTTTTCCCGTCGCCTTTTTGGAAACACAGGAAGGAGCAATCAGCTAAGTGAGCTTAGTGCTTGGAAAAAATCTTTTATTCCTTTAGAGACAGCATGAAAAGTCAGCTGAGTACAAAATATAGAGAGGAAAACAACAAGAAAAGGGACAAGAAGAGAGGGACAAAACCTAGAACAAATAATGGATGTCTATTCTATTAAAATTTCTCTATCTGTATAATGGGCTGTTTTATGTGTTGTCGTCTCAATTCAAAGGGCCCCCTGCCTGTCTTTGCCTGGGGCCCCAAATTTCCTAAATCCATCCCTGATCAGGGGAACTTTAGAAGAGGAAATATTAAGATGAAAATTTAACTTAGTGTTTCTAAGTAACATTAAACTCTCCCCTGTCTAACTAAGATGTCGTAGTTTGTGTTTTTATGGTAAACAGCTGCAATAATAAAGCAATAAGGAAAAAAGACAAGAGATCATTTTAAAGGTTTATATCTTTACATATTTTGTAGCATCGTCTGTTTCCGCTAGAAGCTAGCTCTATTTGGGTTGCTTTGGCATTGAGGAATTTGAGCGGAAAAGGATTAGGGCCACTGAAAAATATAAAAAGTTAACTGATTATCAAATATTATTTCAGTTTAATATGGGAAAAAAGTCAGAATTCTGAATTTTTTTCTGAATTCTAATTTTTTTTTAAAGAATTCTGACTTTAATCTCAGAATTCTGCTGTTAGCATCAACCCATAGCCATGTCTGTTTTACAGACTAAACTAGCTCTCTTGTTTTAATCACCTTTTGTTCTTCCATTATTGAAATAGCATCACCAGGGACCCCTCGACATGTAAAAAGTCGCCTAATTCCGTCATTTTCCACCAATATGTTACTGGTCCTCCCAAACAGCTCACATCTTTGTCAGTGAAGCCAAGCGAAGCTCCCACATCACTTCCTTCATCCAAAATTCTGAGATTAAAATCAGAATTCTGTTTTTTTTTCATATACTTGGAAAAATAAAGTTAAAAAATCAGTTAACTTTTTTTATTTTGTCAGTGGCCCTAATCCTCTTCCATATGAGAGCCTTTTATTTCAACTAAAAAGTAAAATAGATATCACAAAAATGTTTTAAAGCTTGAGTACATTATCTAATTTGCTTAACACAATAGTTTCTGAACATGGGTCTGTTTTTGCTGTTTACTTTCATTATGAAATGATACTGCTGTGACAAAAGATAAATTAAATATATATTTTTTGCGCTTCCTTTCAAAGGGATAAGGAAATACCGCTGTTTTTTTGTTTTGTTTTTTTAATCTAAATATGGAAAATGTAGTATGCAAAATATACTAAATAACTTTTGTGTACAAAACTATTAAATGTTTTTGCAGTGCATGACAGATATGATGATACTATTGAGACACAAGGCAGGTATTTTCTTTGTGGAATCAGCATTTTCTTATCCTGCAAACCTTTTTTCCTTTTTCTTTCTACTGTTGAGGAGCATGAATGCAGAATAGTGTATATTTGCGAATGGTTAGACTTTTACCTTTCCAGCTGGGTTTAGAAAGTCCATGGATTGTACCGGTTAGGGTTCTGTGGTGCTCTAGGGGGTCACTTTGTGGTAAAGAAATGCACAATTCTGAAGCAGGAAATTAAGAAAAATGTATCAAGCTTTTGTTTTTCTGAATTGATGCTTTTTTTGAATAAAAACCTTTTAACGAATGCACATCTGGATGCAAAAAATCCCTCAATTGTTCTTTGTATGATAGAAAAGCTCAGTCAGTTTGGATGGAGACTATCAGGAAACATGCCGTGCAACAAAATCCAAACTGGTTGCAGGTCTGGACTTTGGTTGGTCCACCCCAGCACATGAGTATGCACCAAACTACACTGCCCCATTGTAACTCTGGCTCTATGTCCTGGGCTGTTGTTCAACTAGAGTCTAGATCTCCTATTCTCAGATGTTTTGCTACCTCTATTTAGATTTATTTAAGGACTGTCCTGTATTTCATTCTATCCAGAGACGGGAACTAACGAAGTACA